CTTATCTTGGAACGTGATTATTGTTGACCCTGCGTTTGAACTCGCGACTTCCAAAAGCACGTGGGGTATCAATCAATGAGCTTCAGTCTCTTGGTTATTTGAGTTCAATTGTGCTGTTACTGATGGCGAAATATTCGCTTTATCATAAATGTTATCCTAAAATAAATCTGATATCATGCCTGAACACACCAGGATCTGATCACATCAGGATAAATATACAGAGAGAATAATAAAGAGCCCAGTACACAATACCAAATTCCAACGCATTCCGTCTTCGATAATTCCTGCTGTTTAAGAATATGTTTCGCTTGATGGTAACCCACTACAAGTCTGATGAGATCTTCCCAACGTTGATAAAGTATTTTAAAACTTCAGTTCAAGTTCTAGTTTTTGACTACATTTTTAAATGAATGACAAAGTTTTCTATATGTGTTTTGTTTTTTGCCACTGCTAGCTTATTTATATATATAGACATATAGAATAACACATATCACATCAACAGCCTTTAATAGTCCACTGCTAGACATAGGCCTCTCCTTGAAAAGGAGGTTTTGGCCTACTATTCAATTATTAACTATAACATCCACACCTACATCCTCACTTTAATACTATAATTCATACAAAGATCGAGATCATATAATTAGTTTCCAATTTGCAAATTATTCACATCGCTAGACGATTGGCTGGTCGGAACACGTGCTCCATGGCGCATCTCGTCTTTGAACATATCGAAAAACATGTGCCCACTGACCGACATTTACTTGCTTTCCAAAGTGAACAGGTTTCACATCGCTAGGGTTGACCCCTTACCTATCAATAGCCCTTTCATTCGTTAGTAATTTTAAAGAGAAAGTTATTTTAATAGAATGGAGAAAGGATCTTCGGAGAAACATTTTACTTCGGGGCAAACTTCGTGTAATTTAAATTATTTCTTACATATTTCGGCTGTCTCGCTTATTTTGCAGATGAATGATTGCAGAATTAAACACATCAGTGATAGTCATTGTAAATTTTGCCAGAAGTCCTACTAAAATAAACTTGCCTTTTCATTAAAAAACTTTTTTTAAAAGCACAAAATTGTATACTTAGTTGTTTTGTTATTAGGCACTTACTTCATCCATTGGAATGAAAATGGTTAATATAAATTATTCTGAAATGACGTAATGTCAAGTTCAAGTCGAGTTCAAAAACTAGGTCTCATTAAAATACCGAAATCTATTATATTATATTGTTGAGATATATATATATATTTTTGTTGAATGAATGAATGACAATGAATTAAAAAATTAAAAAATACACTATACTAGAAAAACAATGAAAAGAAACGGTGTTGTAACAAAATTAAATAGTTTTAAAATGATGTTGTTGCGAAACCATAGAGCTGTAAATTATAGCGTTAATTTTTTTTATTGACGTGCCGTGATCTTAACATTTGAAATGGTTAGAAACCGTATTAATTTATTTGCGACAATTTTCATAGTTCACCCATGTATAATCCATTTACAATAATATTTACACAAAATTTAAATAAATTAGCAGCTGATAAAAACATTATACGAATGTTGAATTTTCACTTTTACCAAATATCACAATGAATGCAAATTTTGTAAATAAACAGCTTTCTTGGCTTTAAAGTATGCATCAGATTAGGAAGAAACTATTCTATTCTAAACTATTTGTTTAAAATCTTGATTTGCCGTATATGAGACGTACAAGTAGAGTCGTCGAAAACCTGCTTAAAGAAAGTTTTCAGTAATAGTACTCGTAGTCAAAACAAATATAACCTGCTGCTCGCAAAGAGTGGACCAACAAAAGAACTATATAGAGATAATTTATTTGATTTCATTTTTTGTACACAGTAAAAAGGTTTATTAATTAAAGACTGTGAATCTTGCATTGATAATTTGTTGTCATTGTTCCCAATCACTTAATTCAGGAAAGTCCATTATCGTCAACCAGGCATTTCGGGATTGAAAAATTGGAAGTTGGAAAATGTATTGAAAAAAAAAGTTAACTTGTTAAGTAGAGTTTAAGGCACTTTGTGTTAAGTTACAACTACTCTTAAAAGTGTTATACCTAATCATGTTTCTAAATTGCGTGCTTGACATATTCCCTGTACGAAACTTTGCCTTGACCTATCATCACCAACAGCCTCTAGCAGCCTACTGCTATACATAGGCCTCTCCTAAGAAAGGAGATTTCAGTCCACTATACCATGCTGGCCAGATGGGTTTGTATAGGGTTTGTGTCAAGTTTTCCTTTTCTTTGCAGTGCAGTATTCCTGCAGAGTTTGCTCCCTTAATCGGCTCTTACGACACCCACGGGATGAATAGGGATGGTGACATTCTGTATGGTGACATTCCGTATTCTTAATCCGTCACCACACGGAACCTATATAATATATATTTATGTTGGTGCACTTACATTTAGGTGTAAATAGTACTTTACTCATAATGTGCAATGCAACGGTTGAATATATGTATTTGTGTATTTTTTTGCATAGGTATAGAGTTTATATATCGTATCAACATACAGACACAAGTTAATCAAGATGCTATCTGCAAACGGAGTGCGATACGTACCGCTGTCAAAAGCGAGTCTATAATAATAATACTTATTTCTGTAATAAATATTACATAGAATATATATAGATAACTCATAATAATAGTAAGATTCTATGTATAAATGTCCAGACTCAAATTAGGCATAGCGTTACCGGTGCTGTGGTTTCGAACAGATTAAAAATATTTAAGACATATTTCAGACAACAGAAAAGTAGTATAATTATATATGTAGATACACATTACACCGAAAACGTTTGATGGTGCAGTCGAAGGCGCTACCGCCGAGCTACTGAAGTCGTAAATCTTTATTGCTCTAAATATTTCCCATTACTTATTCGGTGTATGTAGCAATAACCAAGAGGCCTTTAGCTAAATTGAAATGGTAATTATGTTATTATAGACAATCGTTACTTATACCACGACATAATGGGCTGATTTTAGTATTGATTTCAACGTTCATTGAAATTTAAAGTTCAAAATCTTATGAAAGTTCTGATAAAAATAGTTATTTAGTTTTTATTCGTAGCCTCAATACAACAAAATAAACATTAGGGATAAAGATAGATACAATGTAGACTACAAACAAAAAACAGTGATACAACGGGCGGCCTAAAGAATTCATTAATAATTTATTTAATACTAATGTTGTGGCTTCAATACAATTTTTTAGAGCGTTTGAATAGAATAAAGAAATAGGTTTGATTGAAAATAGTGTTGCAACTGCTGGTGTTGCCTTTTTGGTTGACAATACTCATTAGGTAGTACAAAAAATAATGCTTAATTATCTAGAAAATAGGTACGATTTCATGCCGACTTTAAAAAAAATTAACCCAATAGCCATTATCGTCGTTAGATTTATCTTTGTAATTTTTCATGACGTATTACGTCATTCTTCAGCATAAATTGAGTTAAGCTTCAGTCAAGATTGAATCAACTCGATCGACTGCACGGATGGCGTAGTGGGTTAGGCGGTCGCCACGCCGCTTCCTACAACGCTGAGTGTTGTGAGTTCGATCCCCACATGAGACGACACATTGTGTGATCCCCAAATTGTTTTGTGTCCCTGGTGTCTCCGTTTTATGTATATTTGTAAAGTCTCCCGCGACTCAGGATTTATTCCTAATGAAATAACATGGGAGTTGATTGAGATGGCATGGCAATTAAGAGGTACATTTTTCCAAAAAAATTTACCTCTTAATTAGTTTGAAAGACGCAGTGGTGAAAGTGCAAAGCAAAACAAACCCTAGATGCAAATCTGATACGCAGCGAGTATCGTGTTACTGTATCGTAGTAAGATCAGATCCGCTCCGGAACGATCAACAGCAAGTTATTACATGCCCACTTAATATAATCTAAGTAGGAGCATGATAGCGATACTGCTTTAATTCTAAATAGCTATTGACATTAGTTTCTTTTGCTCTTATTTCTAAAGTAGCCGTGCTTGCCGCGGCTAGCTCGTTTATATTTATATTTTTCGCAGATACCTACATTTCTCTCATAATTAAACGTTTATATAGTTTAAAAAGCTTAATATGGTATGGCAACCAGACACCCCAATTTTATTTACTGGGAAACATAAATAGAAATATAAGGTTCTATTAAGTGACAATGTTTCCTAGAGATCCAAGTAAAGACTTGAGGTAGGGTGAACTTCTCATTCGAGATAGGATCGTAGCCTCATTTTAAACACCCCATACCCTCCTCCAATGCAAATATAGTTTTTTAAATCTGACTTGTAATTCCAGAGATAAACTCGTTTCACAAAAAAACCTCAGGTTTATTACTACGAGTACAGATTATATTATCTGTCTATTACAGGTATATCTACACATTTAATGTCTTATTGATAACCTCAGTGAGCATGGGAGTAACTTGACCGTTAAAACCAAAAGAAAATCTCGTGACGACAGATTATCTAATAGTCTGCTCTTGTCAATTTTAAATGTTACATAGTTTCCGTGCGAACTAGACTACACTTTATTCTGTAGGCGAGAGTTGGACTATTTATTTAAATCTTTGTAGGCTAAGAATCTATAAGTTAAACTTTTTTTACCAGCACAAATAATGGTATAGGAATTTATAGTGTTATTACGTTTCACACTTTACAAGCCTACGAAGGGCTCAAAGGACATTACACTTACAGTAACGGTTGCGCGCAATCCAGATATTGTTATTGATATTGTTTCAAATAATCAACCATGATTACTGCACTTGTTTTAACTCAAACATAGGGAATTTTTTATGCCTCATTTTATGGATCACAATTTAAGTATAAAGCTTTTTTGAGAAAACTGTTTTTAAATATGTAATTTCTACTATATTCAATACTGTTTTTAGAATCTACATCAAAATAACTGATTATGATCAATTATAAAATTAAATGCTGCATAATTATTCTCTAAGTGTGAAGAAAATCATAGCAAGAGAGTTTCTTACCTGTAGACAAGGGCACAGCGGCCACCGTTTGCGCATTGCGTGTGGCATTTTCTTTCTTGGCGGATCAGGTTCCGGCGGCGTCTCACCGCACGCCCAGCGCACGAGGCGCGCGCGCGCCGCCTCTGCGGCCTCCAGACCGCGGGACCAGGACGGCAAGCCCTGAAGGACAAATAAAAGAAACTTATTAATTAGCACACATAATTATTCCAGATCCATGTTAAGGCTCTTGCAGCGCGGTGCGTAGGTGTGCAAACGTTCCCTCACCGTTCATAACGTATCGTAAGCAAAGACTCAGCGAGCGTGTCAAAAAACTTATGTCCAGATATTGTACCACAGTTTAGCGTAATGCAGTTGATTAGAAAAGTATGTCGTGTTTGATTCTAAATCTGAGTTCTAATTGGCTTTTGCACTTTAAATTATTGTTATTTAGACTAATTTACCTGTGTGTTAGCTTTCCACTAAAGTAGGTATACACGAAATTAAATAATAATGGAATCAAATGACCATTGAAACAGGAGAACAAAGGTTTTTATGCTCCTAGGTTATTATCAATTATAGGATATTAAATCATTACTTCCTACCCACATTTGTTTACTCAAAATCTCATAAACAATAGATATTTTTTTATAGGCAGGCAATAGTATTGATGACTACGGCCCAACATTTATTGCGAAAGCACTAAAACCGGCAAAACGCTATTGAGTGCAATTATGTAGTGTAGGTTTTGAACGGAACGTTCACAACCTACAATACACTGCAAAGAGAAGGCAAACTTGAAAAAAATTCTATACTAATCCGTCTGCCCAGAGTGGTATAGTCGGCCAAAACCTCTTTTCTAAGGGGAGTCCTATGACCAGCAGTGGACTAGTAAAGGCTGTTGGTGATGATGATAATTGATGAGGATTTAGCTGGCATACCCCTCGCACCCATTTCCACGGCATACAATGCAACGAAATAATCATTTTTAGTTATTTCTTTGGTTAAGTCAAGGTACTTATTTGTTTTTAAAGCGTGGTCTTTGGGGATTTTGATTTTTACGGTACCGTGAGTTCTACACACTTAATTGACATTGCATAAAGAATTATGTCTGATGTGGACGCCAAGGCACAGATATCCTCCGGTATTCTGTAATGATTTTCGTACGTGTTCACTAATAATGTCGAGTCACTGGCGGTATTTATAATTGAGTACGGTATTTGCTAGGTTTTATCCGCATTGCCTTCGTTCAGGTATAGGAGTCATACCGAGGAGGCCGTAATCTGCTACGCGGATGACACCTTACTCACGGCCCGGGGGGCTAACTTCCAGGAGGCGACGCGCCTGGCCGCCACGGGAGTTTCCCTGGTGGTCGGGCGCATTGAGGCGTTGGGTTTGCGGGTGGCCCTGGATAAGACGGAGGCCCTATTATTTCATGGGCCCCGTCGTGGTCCACCCGCCGGCGCCTCAATCGAGGTCGGCTCGGTCCTCGTACCGGTCCGGGCCCAGATGAGGTACCTGGGTCTGGTCCTAGACGGTAGGTGGCTCTTCGACGAGCACTTCCGACAGCTTGGTCCGAAGCTGGTGGACACTGCCTCCGCCCTAGGGCGACTTTTGCCCAATTTGGGCGGAGCCAGTGTTCCCACGAGGCGGCTGTACGCGGGGGTTGCCCGGTCTATGGCGCTTTATGGTGCACCGGTGTGGGTGGCGGCTCTGACCGCCCCGAATATTGGCGGTCAGAGCCATACGCGGATACCGCACGGTGTCCACCGAGGCGGCTTGCGCCTTGGCCGGAACACCCCCGTGGGATTTGGAGGCGGAAGTGCTCGCAGAAGTTTATCGGCGAGTGGCTGACTTCCGGGCGGAGAGCGGATTTCGCCCTCCGCCCGAAGAAGTGCGCGAGTGGCGCGAAGCCGCTCGCCGAGCCACCATGGTCAGATGGTCGTTCCGGCTGGAGACTCCACGCGCTGGCTTCGCCGCCGTGGAGGCTCTCCAGCCGGTCATCGCCGAGTGGGCGGGGCGGCAGCACGGGACCCTTTCCTTCCGGCTGACGCAGGTGCTTCCCGGGCACGGTTGCTTCGGAAAGTACCTGTACTCGGTCGCTAGGAGGGAATCGAGTCCCGCCTGCCACCACTGCGACTGCAGTGAGGATTCGGCCCAGCACACGCTGGCGGTTTGCCCCGCATGGGCGACGCAGCGCCGGGCCCTCACTGCAGTCATCGGAGCAGATCTCTCGCTACCGGCCGTAATTCGCTCCATGGCCGGTAGCGACGGTTGTTTTACCGCGGTCGCAACCTTCTGCGAGGAGGTAATCTTGCAGAAGGAGGCGGCGGAGAAGGCCCGGGAGGACGACCTCAACTCGGACCTGATCCGCCGCCGGCGAACCGGGCGGCGGAGGCGCGCTTACCTGCGCCTCATGCCGCCCTGAGTGTGGCCGTGGGTGGACGGGATGGGTTCTCCCCTCCACCCGCATTAGTTGGCCAGCCGCGAGGGGGCGGCGTCCGCGTGTGCCGGACGCCGCCTAAAGAGAGGAAACTTTGAGACGGAGCCCGCAACAGCAGCGGGCCGGCGCTGGGAGGGGTCCAGAAGGCGATAACTACCTGGACCCCTCCTAAACTGGAAGCGCAAAGAGGGCACACCGTGTGGTTTTAGTCGGTTCGAGTCCGACACACCGCCCCGCCGAACGAGAGCCCCGGCGGGGTGACGGTCCGAGGGGATTTCCACACGTAAAAAAAAAAAAAAAAGGTATAGGAGTCATCCACCTTACGCAGTAGTTCTTGGCACTGCTTCGGATTACATGTGAGGATCGCAAGGTCGTCAGCGAATGCTAAAATGATTCCCTTTATTCACCGGTTCAGCGGTTTAAGCGTGAAGAGGTAACAGATAGATAGACAGACAGATAGATAGACAGACAGATAGATAGACAGACAGACAGATAGACAGACACACTTTCGGATTTATAATATTAGTATGGATGATAGTGTAGGATTCTTCCGAAATTGGAATATAAAATAAAGCTTTTATCAATAAGCACGGTCTTATCAACCGATATAATAATCAAGAATTTTAGTAAAGAGGCATTTTATTTTTAATTTTCGAATAGAGTTTTTGTAAATAAGCAATTTGCCGTGATCACACACGTGAACAAATATGAAGTTTATTAGAACATATCGTTCTAATAAACTTCATACATATTTGTTTTAATCTATAAATACTAATTGACTTTAGTATAAATATAGAAATTAAAATATATATACAAATAATTCACTTCCGCAATTCAAGCCTTGAGCTTGGTGTTGTAAACGCTGCTAAAACATATATATTAGGTATGCTATTAACGTTAGATATATAATAAATATCATTTTGTTTAATTTATTATACCAGAAGACCCATATAACATTATTTTAAGTTTACTATTATAAAATTTATATTTTTGCACATTTATTTAGACACTTTTATTCTTTAAAAACAGAGGTGTATGGTACGTCCACGCTTTGCCAAGTATTTCTGTACTTTCTTGTAACGACGTTACGCTAAGATTTTCATTTTCCCCATTCATTACTGTAACCTAGAAGGTCAAGATCACACGCAAAGTATCAGGTGACCAACAACAATAAAATCATAAACGAAAGTAAATCGAATATATGTGAAACATGAAATGTGAAGGAACGAACGCATCACATTGACAGCCAATACTTTCAACAGCTTATTTTTATACTAGCCACTACACTAGCGGTCCCGAGAGACGTCCCGGCCGATTGTACCCTTTTATTTTGGTATCAAGAAAAAAGAATTTCACGACAGAAGTTCAGTTTAACTTCTATAATCCATGAAAAATGAAATAAGAAAATGAGAATACGCTGGCAGCACTCGGATGTTTAAATCATCTGGGGGTTTACGCAAAAACACACACAAAAAGCAACCAAATCAGTCTATAAATTGCAAAAATATCATTACAAGCACTACCTCAAGACTGATTCACTATTTTGATAATAAATTACTTTAATAATAAATCAAGAATGTAAGTTGTGTGTAAATCATTAATCATGTTTCCAACCAGGAATAGAATAGATATCGTACGCAATAAATTAATTTGTAAACATTTCTTAAAACAAAACAAAAATAGATTTCAGTAACGTGAAAACGTAAATACAAAATGTTAATTATCCTACATGCGAAATATCTTTGACCATTTAAACTGTTTTTAATACATAACAAGCAGATGCGAAAGTTGTACATCATTACTTATTATAATCCTGTATTATTGTCTATATATGAGCACGTGAGGAAAATTCTTTGTACTTCTTTTTAAACACATTATTATGGTGCAGGTAAGTATAAATTATTTAGAACCGCCCGCGTGTATGTCGGTTATAGCGGTAACTCCTTCCTCAAGAATCAAACTTCCAAATTCTAATCCTTACCAAATTTCATCTAAATCGTTGCAAGGGTTTAAGCGTGAAGAGTAACAGACAGACATACACATTTTCGCATTTATAATATAAGTATGGATATGTAATGTTTGTATTTAAAAGTGCAGAAAGCTAATATTTCAGAACAAATTGTGCTTTAAAGTTATAATTATGTAAAAACTCCTACAAAATGCTATAGGAGTCCAGTGTATATTTTGATCTGTTATGTTACAAAAAAATAATACAATGATACATAGTTTACGTTTTGTGCGATCAATTAAATCACAACATCTAATGATAATCATAATGATCTCCTACTATCAGGCGAATTGCATGCTTGTTTTCAATCCCAATGTCATATACGATACTATAAACCGAATATTTCGTCCTTATAGTCATTTCACTATGAACACGGTTCCTCGAACTATTGCTGTTTAACGTTCTATTAAAGAGAAAATAAAAGTGTTGATGTCAATGTGCCTACAGCATGACATTGCTGACATGACATCACACAACGCGATCTAGACCCTAAGCAGAGCTTGTACTACAGGTACTAGACAACTGTTTTTTTTTTGTAATCCATACATATTATACATAGAAACACCCAGACCAAATCAAACATTGCAATATTCATGCACACAAATGTTTGATTGAGGAATCGAACCAGCGATCTTCGAATTTGTCGACCTTTCGGTCGTCGAATTACGGTAGTCGAATTCGTGTATTCTTACTTCTTAATTAAGATATTTTCCGTAACGGAAAAGTTTACAA